TAAAACACTTAAGTTATATACATACACCAATTCTACACACAAAAGCACACATGCTTTTAAATCCAACACTACATACAAAGACACCACTGCATTCAAATGTAAACACTACACACAAGTACGCTGCTGCATTCCAATGGCAACAGTACATACAAACACATCCCTACATGAACACACATACTCTATACTAAAACATGCTTACATTCAAATGCACATACACTGCTCACAAATACAACCCTGCGAGGATGGTAGATCCCAAGATGGCATAGCATTGTGGGAGATATATGACAGATTAGGACCTATCTTATCGCCACTCTTGTGCTAAAAGGAAACACAAAAAAATAATAGAATGGGTAAAGACATGGACATCCGCAACAAAGGACAATAGAGAGTTTCTTTTAGCTCTCCTGACCTAAGCCCTGCAGTGCAGGCCAGCTTAATTGCCCAAAAGTGTCAGCTCATTGCTCTCATTGCTGGGCTTAGCTCAGTGACCACAGCTTCTGGCTATCAGGATACAGACCCCAGGTAAGAAGTCAAACCATTCGAAAGCTGTTTGTCTGCTAACACTGTGGGGGTGAGCTGTAGTGGTTATGGTGCTTGAAACGTTCGTTTAAATAGTGTCTAAAAGTGACAGTGGTTATTCAGTTAATGGTTTAATTCCCTCTTAGAAAAGTATCTGTGGACACTGTCGGAAGGCGGAGGTGTGATATATACAGATTTACATGATTAGTATTGTTTGTACGTTTTGTTATTTAACACACATACTGGGCCTAAATGCAGTGATAAAACATTTGATTTATTTGTGAGAGTTTACGTTGTCTTTAATTTAAAGTACTGTAGACAAGACAAAAGCAAAAGTAAAAGAGGAGAACATATTCTGCACTGCTGGGAATGGAGATCATGCCCAGGAGAATAATATTTATACCTTCTTACAAAAAAACATCAAACATGCATTAAAACGCTCCCATGGGGTGCGAGACTCTGTAAAGGAAATTTAAGCACTGCTGACTGTGCATTCATAAAGTCTTAGATACATTATTTAACAATGCACAGGAGCTGATAAATATGCCCAATTTTGCACCAAGATATTGCAGCTATTGCTGATAAATAAATGTCCGAGTTTGTGGAGCAAAGAAGCAGCAGAGTTACGTAACACAGACATATTAATGGATTGAAAATAATTGTTAACAAGGAGATGGGGCTGTCTAAGAATTCCGTGCCTAAATCTGGCTGTCTTCTCATGGACTCAGAGAAACCATGAACTAAAATATAAACCATTAATTTAACGCTTTAAGTGCTAACAAGTTAAAGCTGTGGAACACAGAATAACACAGGCTCACCAGCTCAGCTTTCACATGTGGGGAATCTGAATAATTCTATATAAAAATAGATTGACACATTGCCTCGTGTTTACAGAGGTGGAATGGAATGCAGAAGTTCACATTTCCTTCTGCTGTGCAAACTGCGTATTGGTCAGCCACGATGAGGAAACAATGTGTGTCACCAGGTTATTTAACATATAGAAACCCCCACCGGCTGTGTTCCCACCCGTTCCAATTAATCCCCCCTAACCACTGACCGTGGGTGGTGGAAAGTGACCTGTCATCCCCCCTGCTATTTAATATATAGAGCTTCCACCCAATGCCCACAGAACCCTCCTCTATGTTAGCAGCAATTCTTGGCCAGTAGGTAGTGTTTTATAACTGGACATGTGCCCACTTGCAGCATGGTGAATAGGGGCACAAGGGAGGTAATAAACCTCATATATACTAATGTGGATGTAATATTGTACCCCCATTTGGTTTGTTTTTTTACGGTTTTCCCTGTGGCTGCTACTCCTACGTCTTTTTGTAGTCAAACTTTTCAATACCATTAATTGAGGTTAGGTCCTTGATAAATAGCATTGAATCACTAAATCAGAAGTTTCCTATGGCTTAAAAGAAACCAATAGTTTCCCTAATTAAATTGAGGCATTAATTTGGTACAATTCAGATTTTAGGGAATAAACATGTTAATATTTTTATGATTGTTATGACTTTTATTCATCCTGTTAACATATTTGCATATTGGTTCATGTTAATTCACTATTCAAGCCTAGCTATATATTTTTTTATTTTTTATTTTTTTTTCTCTGATACATTTTTATTCTTCCAGGATAAAGTGTTTTGGACAGATCTGGAGAATGAAGCCATCTTCAGTGCAAATAGGCTGACCGGACAGGAAATCTCCATCCTTACCGATAATTTAAACAACCCCCATGATATTGTTGTTTTTCATCAGCAAAAACAGCCGAGAGGTTTGTAGCCCCTCTAGCCCTCTATGCTCAATGGTTGTTCTCTTGCTGCATCTGCTAAAGAAATGAGTGAAGAGGTCTCACCTCATGGGGTCCTCGTACAATGCCAAAACCAAATTGTGGTTAACTGTAAACTGAAATTCAAGATTTAGGCTTAAATAGCCAAACTGTGTTTCAATTCACTATTGATATTTGGTGTTTAGCTTAAAAAAAATCCCCTATCTGTTTAGTTCTAAATGTAGATATTAGAAGTCCAATTGGTTTTGCCTTGTTTTCTCAGGTTGCAGTAATCCTGTTGTCTTTGTACATCCAGTGGCGATAGAATGACTCTGTGCTAATTAGTGTTATTTTTACCATTCAGCCATTGATGCGTGTAATGATGGGCCTGTTCCAAATGGCGGCTGTGAATACCTGTGTCTGCCTGCCCCTCACATCTCTGCTCATTCACCGAAATATACATGTGCCTGTCCAGATGGTGTGGAATTGGGACCTGACATGAGGAGCTGCGGGAAAGGTAAGAATTTTGGGATTGTGAGGTGGAGAGGAGCAGGGTATGGAAAAGTGGCCCATGGACAGTAACCAAATCCCCACATTATTTTACATGAGGTGTGTTTATGTAACATTCCAAAAAAGTTTAAAACCTGTATGTTTTTTTTGGTGGGGTAGGGCAGGGGAATTTTTTTTGTAATTGTTTTTTTGTATTCTGTAGTTCAACTAATTTCATTACATGGAGTAAAGAACCACTATTTATGTGTGTAGTTATCAGAAACTCTCATTGCACGTCTGACTTTTTTCTTTATCATTAATAAACTGTTTTATTTCAGTCATTACAGAAGTTACCACTTCTTTGGCTACTGTACCTCCACTTTTGACTACCAGCAAGCCCCCTGCCACAAAGTGCAACACATTGGTTCAAAACCATTTCAAAATCTGCTCAGTTCAACAATCACATTTTTATTTTCTTATTAAAAGTAATTTACAAAAGTATTTCCTTCTTTATCTTGTGATTATGGATAGTGTGTAAGGTTAAGCGCACGTATATTATGAAATCATGTCTGAGACCTGTTTTTCTGATATTGTATTGAATTACTCATTTTAAGATTCCTGAAGTGGACACAACTTACCATGCAAATTCATGTAAATCCTAATTGCACTCGCAAGGGCACTTCGGAAGGAATGTCTAGGCATGCAATTCTCTGTGGATACCGTACAATGCATATGTGTGCCCAGGGCATAATAAGGCAATGGTGAGGCATACAAAACAAGTGTATGATGGAGGTAAGTGTTTTACTTACCTCCACTACCCACCACGGTAAGTTTAGTAATATAATTTGCTTGGGTCAGGTAACAAGAGAGCTGTCACTTCCAAAAATAGGACATTTCTGCTTTTAGCAAAAATGCAAGCATGCCTGTATATATAAGTATATGGTTATAAGTAAATATTTGCATTCTGTAGAGCTGCAGATGGCTTCGTCATGGCTTACTTAGATAGGTGCACAGTAAAAGAAGTAAAATCCCTGGGACATTGATCAATTCATTATTATTAAACAAACAGCAAACACTGTTTTTGGGGAACGCACTAAAATGTTCTCAGTTATATACCCTTGTGATTCCAGACTGGAGAACACAGATATAAACTACTGGAAAAAAGCTACTTAGTAAATTGACTCCAAAATATTTAGATAAAAGTATTGTTATGGCACATTTTGTATTTAAAGGGACACTCCAGACACTCAGACCACTTCTGCCCATTGGAGTGGTCTGGGTGCTAATTCCCACCACCCTTAACCCTGCAAGTGTAATTATTGTGGTTTTTATAAACTGCAATAATTACCTTGCAGGGTTAAGTCCTCCCCTAGTGGCTGTCTGTTAGACAGCCACTAGTGGGACTTCTGTGTTCTTAGATCATGAAAAGTGTTTTAAACTACGCTGGACGTCCTCACGCTATGCATGAAGACCTCCAGCATCGCCGGAATCCCCATAGGAAAGCATTGAATAATGCTTTCCTATGGGGAGGTCTAATTTGCGAGGGACATCGGCGCTGGATTCAGGTAAGTCACTGAAGGGGTTTTAACCCCTTCAGCAACATGGTATGAGGGGGTGAGAGGGAGAGGGCACTGCAGGGTCCTGCAGTGCCATTTCCTGGGACTGGAGAGTCTCTTTAAATAACTTAATTTGATCAACACAATTGTATAACAAGCACACAGTGCTGAATAGAGAAACATACACAATGAGTCTAACCTGTTTTGGTGAACACAACAAAATGCACTTTGTCGACGTGCATTTTAACAAACATGCACACAGTATTAAAACGCGTATATACAGTAGATGTGTTTTTAGTTATTTTGTATCATGTCCCAGAGATCAGAAATCTGGTTATTTATTCTGCAAACTGGAATGATTAAGTGCGTTAATACTAAATTCTGATGAATGATAAAATTTTGCTAAACCTGAACCTTTTTTCAATTTCCCTACGTACACTAATTCCTTATTCTCAACTCAGCTCAGTATGAGACCCAATCTCTTCGTGCCACCATATGACACGTCAAATACACGGCAGGAAGTGAAGGAATTAAAATAGTGAATCACCAACATGTATGCAGATTCAGACTTTAGGAAATAGATGAGAACTATGCATTGTTCAGAAGTCTGGAAAAATTACAGTGCATCAAAAGGACCACTAGGTGTCACTCATCATGCATACAGACATTACAATTAATAGTGCATTAAACCTTAGCTTGTAAGGTAAATAAAATAAAAGGCAAGGTATAGGTGGTATGTAAGTATTTATTTAATCTGTAATATATGACAAGGAAATAGGGAGTTACTGGAAAAAGTCAACACGCATACAATTATACAAGCATATAATCAACCTAGCTATAACTCGGACTCTACAGTGAGTGTTTTCTATGTTTACACAAATTCTCGTCTCAAGTGGGTTTTAAAATTGCTTCTGCATTGCCCTCTAAACTGAGCACTCTCATCCTCTCCGACATACAGACCATGTTCTCTTTTATTCACCTTTATTTTCTCTCTCTCCTGAATAGATATTAGAATCTATTTTTAGATACAAGCTCTACCTCTTTTCTCACCGCAAACACTATTTTAAATTATCTCTCCTTTCTCTCCCCCAAATTTCTTAGCCAACATCTGCTCTTTTAAAAGAACACGCTAAATAAAAATGGATACATATATATTTTTCATTTGGAGTTTCCCACCTAACAGTTTTTTTTCTTGCGGCCCTCCCCTGTAGTGAGGCATTTGGACACACCAACAAAACCTCTTGTCAGTCCAAAAGGGTTACTACGTGAATTTATCAAAGTGCCTTTAAGTCCGTTCTCGCCATATTTTTAAAAGGGAACTGTCTCTTTGAAAATGACACCATTAAATTAAACTTTAAAAATCACCTAAAACAAGTGTTAACCTTTTTTCATGAAACGCTCCCTGGGCGTAATTTTTTATTAAAGATTATTTTTTTATTAAAGATTTAGGAAATCCAATTTTAATAGATTTAAAACAACGCAAAGCCACACTTTGCAAATGGGGAGGAGAAAAAGAGACATTGTTTAATTTCTCCTCTTCTCCACATGCTCTCTCTATTTAGACTGCCATGTGCAAAGGACAGAGTTTATAACAATAATTGACAGAGAAGATGGAGGCACCCAGTCACAGGATATTTTCACACCTCACAATTATATATTTGTTAAGTGACAGTTCTCTTTAAGCAGTGAGACATAGCTCTCCCAACCACACTTTCACATTATACATTTAAAGTGTGTAGAAATCCTACGAATCTCATATCGATATATTACCTGTTACATGTTTTACTACACATTTTATATACCATGTGGAATCCTTCGTATTTCAGTAACATTAAAAATACAATATTAATGTTTCATTTACGTGCTATTTCCAGCAGTTCTATAATTGCCTACTTCCAGTAATCTGACTTTCTCTTTCTGCTTTATCTATTCCTTCCTTGCAATCCACTAGAGGTCTACAGTTTATCACCGACTCCTGCACGTTCTCTCATCGCAATTTCCAACCTTTTCCCCTTACTCCTGTGTACATTTACCTCCTTTTACATGCGTGCTATCTACCTGTCTAATCCCATTCCTGTATCATTTTTATCTTTTTTTAATATGACCTCCTCTTGCCTTCTCTTCTGCCATTTTCTCTTTCATCCTTTGTGATTTACACATCCCTGTAAAACTCCCATATAATCTCAAAAACAGCAATTTTTATTTAATATCCACTCTGTTCTTGCATTGTTTTGCCTGCTGTTTAGGCTGGTAATATTTTTGCCATAATATTTTCTAAAAATTTACTTGGCCTCCAATCCCCGACCATCGGACTTCATCTAAATTCAATCATATTGAAAGTTTACTCATCTTCAAACAATGAACCAACCTTGACTTACCTGAGACCAGAACTTACCTGAACTCTGACAATATCCACTAGTGTCAAACCTCTTCTGCCATCCATCTCTACTTTCTCATGTCCCAATCTTGCATACTAGATGGACAACAACCTGTAATAATTAGATGTTATACCCTATATCCTCTAAAACCAGGAAACATCCCTGTAGGATGTTTCCCTACCTACAGAGCTGAATGAACCACATAATTATACCTCAATATTAAAAAAAATATATATGATTTGTTTTCCTTTTCCTTTTCGAGGCTATGTATTACCTTACCTTTTGTAGCAATGATAGCAAACTATCTGTCTTTTTTATTTTTATTTTTTTTTAACAATTAGCTGACTCTTCATTCCCATGCCAGCTACTCCCTCAGCTATTTCATAACAGCCACTACTTACCTTACTGAACAATTCTTTACTAGGCACTGCTTATACTCCATAATTCAATAGAAAAAAGCAATTGCTCCTCTCCTTCATTCTACAACAGCAATTGGGCCCCTAAACTATTCCACACCAGGAGTTACTCTCCTCAACCATTCCATGCCAGACACAACTTCTCTCACTCATTCTAAACCAGCCACTACTTCTCTTGTCCATTCTACACCCTCACTCATTCTACAGCATCTACTACTTCCTTCACTCATTCTACAGCAGCCACTATTTCTCTCGCACATTCTATACCAGCCACTACTTCTCTTCTCCATTCTACACCAGTCACTAATTCCTTCACCCATTCTACAGAAGCCACTACTTCCCTCACTCATTCTACACCAGCCACTGCTTCTCTTGTCCATTCTACACCCTCACTCATTCTACACCAGCCACTACTTCTCTCACCCATTCTACAACAGCCACTACTTCCCTCACGCATTCTACCCCTCCCACTACTTCTCTTGTTTATTCTACACCCCCACTGGTTCTACACCAGCCACTACTTCTCTTGTTCATTCTACACCCTCACTCATTCTACATCAGCCCCTACTTCTCTCACCTATTCTACAGCAGCCACTAATTTCCTCATGCATTCTACAGCAGCCATTATTTCTGTCATCTATTCTAAACCAGCCACTACATTCCTCATGCATTTTACATTAGCCCCCACTTCTCTCATCCAATCTACACCAGTCACTACTTCTCTCACATATTCAACACCAGTCATGACATCTATCATCCATTCTACACCAGCTTCTATTTCTCTCACCCATTACACACCAGCCACTACTCTCTATTATTCCATACTTGGAGTCACTCTTTTCAGCCACTTCACACCAGCAACTGTCCCTCAAAGAATAATTAAAGTCATCAAAGATAATTAATGAAACAAATCTAAGGTAAATAAGGCTCAGTCCTTCTGAATCTTTAATAGGATTAAAAAACATAAAATACTTAAGTGAAAATTCAAAGTGAATTTGAAATGCAAAACTGGAAAAACTATGCTAGTCAACTATGCGTGCAGTTCAGCCACTCTGTCGTGAAATA